AGGTTTTTACAATAATAACAATTGTTATCGTCATCTAGATTACATGTGTCATAGGCTTATATATACTGCCATATGTATGATAAATTGGATAATAACGGCGAATTTGCATTTTTGCGAATAAAGTCAACAACAATGAATATTCAATATATACACATGTTCGAATATTACATGTTGCTATTGATAAATGAAAAATCAGATAATCTCTTAATATATCATTAATATACAGAGAGGTATAATTAACTGCTGACCTGATCCCGTTGCCTGGACTTCAATATCCGCGTATGATTCTCCAAGTTGACAGCGATAAGTTTGAACACATTGTGCATCAAATACAGTTAACGTTGTTGTCTGTTCATCACCTTCTACTGGATCAATATCATAGCCTTCATCAGAAGAATCTATTTGTATGTAATTTGGCCCATCCTGTAGAAACCATTCCCAACTCTCGTTCTCGGGAAATGGTGGTACAGCATCTGTGCCACACTCTAACAAGGCGTCAGACCCTGTTTCGATTTTAAGGGGACTCTCTGTGATAGCGTTAACTGTGGGTTCGTCTACAAACAAACATAATAAGTTGTTTGTGTAAAGCGATTGTTCGGGAAAGCAGCACAATTAATTAACATTAATTAGAATTAAATATATGCTTAAAAAAGTAAAACTGATCAGCCACAAATCAAAACTTTCCTTCGACGAAAATGAGCAGATATAACGTACATGGGTAAATGTAAAGTAGTTGAAAGCAATAATTGTTTAGGTTATTTGTCAACTAGAATACAGTACATCACGTATTATTTTATGAACGATAATTATGGACAACAACACCTGACAAGTTCGTGCACGGCATTCCTTTGACACATTTACGTCACAGAACTACTTCATTGCTGGAAGGTACAATTTACAGAAAGACATTGTAACCAAATATCTCTGCAAGTATACTATAATAACATGTTCACGCCATACTTACAACTACGGTCATTGTATACCATGTATACATACATAGTAAATATTTATATACTTACATGGTTTGTAGACTATTTGTGTATATGGTGTACTAGATCCCATAGTGTTCGTAGCTGTACATATTGCCTCTGATGTTACTATAATGTGAACACATTGTATACTTACAAGGTATTGTGACTGTATGGCTATGTGGTTCACTAGATCCCATATGTTTGTAGCTGTACATGTTATCTCTTCTTGGCCATCATCTCCAGTATCTGTAAGTTCCCATGTGTTCTCAGATGTAGTACCAAACTGTCCACCCTCAGCTTCCCATTCATATTGATATGAGTCTGGATTGGCTGTATCTACACATTCCACATTTATCACACCACCATCACTCCATGAAGTAACTCCAATTCCGGAGATTATCGGTATGTCTGAAAAGGAACAAAAACCATGTCAAAAAAAATACCGTATTTTCTCTATTAGAAGTACACCTTAATCGAAATTACATGTATTATATGCTAGATCATAAAAATATGACTTATTTGGATCATCAATAGACATCTATCATTTATAAAGACACATACTACTAATATAGTGACAGAATAGAATAGAATTCTAATAGAAACACAAGCAAGTACAAAATTGGATCATATATTCCTACTACATTACCTCATATAAATATTTCTCAGTTATACAGATAAAAAAAACATTGACCCCTGAACGAGAGGCATTGCATGAGAAGTCATTATTGTTTGGTTGATTTCCCTACCATTGAATATATTTGTTATGGAGAGTATATCATCACTAATTAGCAAAGTGTGAAAGATTCAATCAGCAACTGGTTTGAACGGGACAGGAATGTGGAGAGAGGCGAGGCAAACTGCATACAGTGTCAACAAATTTACATAACACTATATTATGTTAATGAAATTTATTTTATTCATTGTTATGCTAAATTGGTTTTAATGTTTATCCAAAAAATGCCTCGGGAAGGTGGTCAGTTCTCTACAGAAAAGGTATTCTGGCATGTGCGGAACTCAAACAGCCAGTCTTACTTAGCTTCAGCATAAGCACACTATTTTCAAGGGCAGTGAACACCATTTTGGATTTTGTCCCACATCAAAAGTTGAGCTACAGATCAGCTAAACATGTACAGAAAAACACAACATTCAAAATCTAAATAAATACTGACATCATATGTTACTTACGTTTTACATTCATGTAAACACGAGCACTTCTAACTGTTAAGTCTTCATGTTGAAATCCTTGGCATTTCAAAGCCTCTCCATTATCTGATGCATTGAATGTATAATTCAACACACTCCTACTGTTATGTAGTTTGTCATTATTATCGCTGACTTGTGTTGTATATGTACTGTATTCTGTGATATCTTTACCACCTATTGTCCACGTTAACTCAGCTGCTGGGTTACCATCGGTGGATTCACAGGTAAACTCTCTTGCTTCATTTTCATCAACTGTTACAACTGCATCATCACTATAGCCAACTATGTTTATTGAATCTATTCTATCTGCGGGGATAGCAGTTTTATACTGTATTATTATAGAATGACGGACGACGCATCTTTGTTAAAGTACATTACTCAAGCATTATAATTTGTCTCTGGGTCTAGGTTCTTATAGCTCATGGCGGTTCTATACAACTTCTATAGAATTTCAACATCATGGTACCTTTTAACTCAACATCAATTTATAATTCTGAATTTTAGTGTGAACAATGTGACACCTAAAAAACTGACTCTTTGTACATATAATGTGTTGATATCAAATGGAGAACATGAAATAATGTGATTTTATCTAAATTTTACTCAAGTAACCTCAATGATTTTGTTAAAGAATATGTCGAATCCACTGCAAATTGTTACATTGCTACACATACTTAAATTAAGCCAAGACAATTTTTTAAAATACGGCATGAAAACGTATCCGTTTGTTGTATTATACTTTACTTACCAAGTACAGTAAGTGTTCCTACTTCCCCATCAGCATTGCCCTGTAAACTAAAATAACAATCATACTCTCCATCATCGTCTTCTAGGTCCACATTGTATATAAGCAAGTCATATCTGTATGGCGCTGTGTACACAATACCGTAATGGGCTGGATCACCTACGTTAATAGTAGAACCCTGGTCTGTGATTTCAGCTAGTGCACCGCTCTCACCAACTTTAACCCAGTTCACAGGTTGTGAACTTGATTGCCAGTCTATAGAGCAGTTCAAGGTTGCATCTTCTCCTGGTTTGGCATATTCTATACCAGTTGGTCCAATCAGAACCTGACAAAATACTAAGTATAATATAACGATATTAAGAAACCATGGTGACCATTTTATTTTTTCCCAATGCAATAGTAACGTTTAGTATAATAAGATGGTGGTACTTGCATTCACAACGTAATGAAACACTGAAACATTCAGTGTATGCTACAAATCGACATTCATATTGCCAATTCTCCACGTCATCAAGTACAGCATGCCATGTTAGTTTGTACGGAGACGGAAATGAAAACAACAATGGCACAGTACACTTAGTGGTTGAACAGCTACAACTCAGGTCAATGTTCACTAAAAAGATTTATTGACTGTCAGTGTATAACTCTCAACGTATTGAAAAGCAAAGCAATGTAGAGCCCGGTTACAATACCCTGGACCATTTCCCTTCTTCTGGTAGTTTACTGAAATGTTATATATTCATACAGATAGCACAAATTCCACTCAGTGTACACTTAAACTCAAAGCTTAATTTCCGCAATGGGACGCCATCTATGTTATTACAATGAGTCAATGTATTTACCATGATTGTCTGCCTTCCGTCAATGCTAATATGAAGCGCCCTCTTTGAGAGAAATGTGAAACAGACCAACTCGTTTTTAACTTTACATGCGTACTTGATTCATCCATTGAAATTATTTTAAAGCGGTAAGTGTATTATGATGATAATAGCTATCCTCCCCATGTGATTTTGTAGAATTATTTCACCAATATTTTCTTATTATTCCTTCGTTTTTTCATAAATGTGAAATTCCTCCAGCATCATTATTTCATTATTTCGTTGGAATGTTATAGTGACGTATTAACTATGACAAGGAAAGTACTTGCTCACCAACACTCTTTCCGGCTCGCATTCGTGATTGTTTGAATATTAAGCATCGTGGTTGTATTACAAAATGTGTGTACTAAACTTGGTCTTCACACTTAATAACGCTGACGTTCATGATTAACCTTTTTTTGTAATAACGATTATCCATATTTGTAAAACTATTTGTAATAACGATCAAACCTATTTGTAATAACGACCAACCCTATTTGTAATAACGATCAACCCTATTTGTAATAACGATCAACCCTATTTGTAATAACGATCAACCCTATTTGTAATAACGGTCAAACATATTTGTAATAACGATCAACCTTATTTGTAATAACGATCAACCCTATTTGTAATAACGATCAACCCTATTTGTAATAACGGTCAAACCTATTTGTAATAACGATCAACCCTATTTGTAATAAAGATCAATCCTATTTGTAATAACGGTCAAACCTATTTTATTTGTTATAACGATCAACCGTATTTGTAATAACGATCAACCATATATGTTTAAAGCCAACACTATTTATAATAATAACGATCAACCCTATTTGTAATAACGATCAACCCTATTTGTAATAACGATCAACCCTATTTGTAATAACGATCAACCCTATTTGTAATAACGGTCAAACCTATTTGTAATAACGATCAACCCTATTTGTAATAACGATCAACCCTATTTGTAATAACGATCAACCCTATTTGTAATAACGATCAACCATGTATGTTTAAAGCCGAGCCTATTCATAATAACAATCAATCATATTTGTAATAACGAATTAATAACCTATTTTAAATACCAATTAGCCTAATTTGTAATAATTACCAACCCTATTTGTAAAAGCGATCAACTCTATTAGTGATATTCATACTAACCCTATGTGTAAAGCACATTGTAACAAAATATTGAAAAACGCTAAAGAAATATCTAAAATGACCAAATCTATATTTCCATAATCGAAGGGAAAACTAGCTACGATGTCTATGAAATGAACATTCCTAGTAGGCTTAGACTATAAGCATTATTTAAAAAGGCCGGCATAACATACATCGTCTAAATCAGCACTCACAAATTGGTCAAAAATGTTGATCTGCAAAATTACTCCACCGAACAACACATCTCTCTCGTCCACATTCTACAATAGAATCAGTCATTCTCTAATTCGGACAACTCAAAACACAATGTTAAGAAAATGGTCGATATTTACAATGATTAAAAACATATAAAATATTGTACTCGTGTGAATAAAACTTATATTTTATGTTTTTTGTGTTACTATCAGTACAATAACATAACAACCTCGTCAGATAACATTTCTGCTGTATACCTTCCGTAATATAAATTCCTCTATGTCTCCCATAGTTTTCGAATGTATTTAGTGTAGGTCTCATGGACTATATATAAGATAAAGATGACACTCATCTAATGAATAAGCATTTCTACATGTGCACACAAATTAAATTGAAAATAAAACAATTTTTGTACATATGTAAGCATATTTCATCGCTATATTAATTGAGGCGCTTTAATCTAAAAGAAAAGAAAAAACAAATTGAGGTGAACATCAATTTCAAAAATAGTTGTGGGATATCAGTAAACTTTGACTGTCTAGCGTGATGATAGTGGTGCTATCTTAGCATATCAAACTCAAACAAGGGCTACCGATAGAACATTGCATATGCTATTGTTTGATATCAAATTGTCAGCTAATTAGAAATCAATCATAATTCCAAAATAATCATGACAATACGTATAAGTTTGACACACCTTGAAATGATCATTCAATATCTTTCATGCAAACAATGTTCACAAACACCATCAGCCATATGGATAAAAACACTGCCACAATCTGCAAAATAATCTTTATAATTACCAATAGGAAAACATAATGGAATCTTATTTATTGATACGAAAATGTCGGCACACAATTTGATGGGGCGGCCTTGTATGGTCAGAATTATTAAAATAACACATTCATATTATTCAAAGGATTACAATTTCACACCAAATATGAAGAAAATAGGTTAAACGTTTTTAAATTAATAACACGACATTGCGAATAAGGTTAAAATAAGCAATGTTGCTTATATAAGCATAATACATAATCGAATATAATTGATTAAACACGTACCTGAATAATACACAGTCTTTTCATATGTTGACTGTTTATAGCTGTGCATGTAATATGTTCTTTATCATCGTCTCCAGTATATGTCACTTCCCATGTATTGTCTTCAGTGTTACTTGTCTGGCCACCCTCGCCTTCCCATTGATAACTATGAGTCTGGATTCGTAATTGGCTGGATTACCTATGTAAATAGTAGAAACTTGGTCTGTGATTTCAGCTAGTGCAGCGGTCTCAACTTTAACCCAGTTCACAACGTTTGAACTATCCTATCTTGCCTATAAGTTTTTGTATTAATACAGTCATTTAATACGCGTGTTTGGCACCTCCACATTGCTATATTATTAAACATCAGTGCCAAAATATTTTATGTTATTGTTTTATAATTATTATCGGTCATCATAAATAATTTTGTTTATTTATCATTTCACCATGTTTGCATAATTTTATTGTTCATGTGAGATTTGTTCTCCATATCTGACCAAATCTGTTCTAATCAACAAATATTGTTTTTGTTTTGTTGTAGGTTTTGTCATAGCTAAGTAAAATATTACATCAGCCTTTGCGATGTGTTGTACAACATTTATAACGTATATAAACGCTTGCCTTGCTTTCTTTTGTCATGAATGACTTTTTCAACGCTCTGTGACGAAACCAATGCATCTGTTTACAATTGACGTGGTACTGTACTATAGCAGTTCAAAACGCCTAGTACACTGAATATAAAGATTGTGTTCACCGGTCACTTGTTGCATAGAGGTTGTTGTATCGGAGTAATGACGATATACATGAGTTTTAAAACCAACCGGAATTGAACATCAAAAAGGTCGACACCTACGCTAAGTGAGTGTACCACCGACTCAATACCTAGGCTATATCTACTGGCCTAGATACATTCACTATCAAATGCGTAAAGGTCAACTCACTGATGTCACTGAATGTAAGGTTTGTGTTTGCATTAAAGTTCGCGTCCTATGTTACATTCAAATGCAAATTTCATGCTACTGTGCTTACATTCTATAAACAAAGTCGCCAGTCTCTGCTATTAACCCGTCTGTGTCCACTTTAAGTCTCTACAAAAGAAGCTTGAAATTCGGCAACACCGTTATTATTTTGCAATCATTACATAAACCTGATTGTAACATTCGTATGACCAGTTTACAAGTCAGTATACATCTAGTAATAGTAGCCATTTAAATGTTTCTCAAGAGAAAAAAAATACGTGAAAATTGACCACAATGTTTTTGTTATAGTGGACGAAATTTGGTTAAATTGTTTTCATTAAGGTAGGACTCCCTTTCGTAGCTAATTTTAAATTGAGGGGGGGGGGATTTTCTGAATATATAAACAAATTATCCAAATAATAGTGTAAGTTACAGAAAGAAATTACGTTTAAAAGTTGAAGAAATACGATTAATAAACAGGATACTTCCGTATTTGAAAGTGAAGCATCGCATTTCACAATCTACAGTAATAACCACCAACTGCAGCTTGTATTCAAAATACTGAGCATGATGCTCATTTTAGCACTAATCTTAGTACTCATCAAACAATCTTAATTGTTGTTGCAAAACCATGGCAACTTGTAAAACAATGAGGAAGGTATTTGATCATGTCGATGATTATCTTGTAAATGAATGTTATGAATAATTACGCGATAACATTCTACTGATTTATCATACTCTTGAAATTTCGTGATCACATACAGAAAAAAAGGCGTTAAAATGGAAGGCCAGGAACGTGAGTCTCTACCTTAAATAAATTGTTAACTCGTGTAAAGCGTTATGCATGTTTTAATTGCAGTAAAACACACTGCAAATATTCTTTTTTCAATCACTTCAGATCTCATACGTAGACTATGGTAATTAGCGCCCGCAACGTTCGAATAGAGATATAATGTACTGTTACATTTGTTATCGGTATTTCACAATCGTAAATTGTGTGTGTGATCAGAAAATTCATTGTTAATAAACCATTAACAATAGTGTATTTATATGATATACTCCAAGTGTTAATATATGTTTTTACCTTCCTGGTGTGGTGTACTACATACTCAAATACTCCTAGTTACTGAGCAATTAAGGAAGATTGCAAATTATGCACCAACATACATTTATTTTGCCCGGTTTCTGTAATAATATATAAAACATTATTTAAAACTAAAATACGACTGTGTTTTCTATGCAATCATATTGCCTGCACTTCAATATCCGCGTATGATTATATAAGTTAACGAATAGTTGCTTAACGAAACTAATAGACGCCACCACTGTCAATTAACTGTTCACTGGATTTTGTGAAAGTATGGAATACAGATTTTATAGAATGAGTAGTGATAGATGTGATTAACCATGTTATATAATTTAAATTGTAAAACTGTTGGTCTTTAAAACGCGTATTTCAAATATAATCAAATGTTAGGCCTATGGGTATGTTCTCTTGTGCGCCATTTTGGATTCCATGAGATGAAAGGTCACATACCAAAATAATGGCAACATTGTTTTTCATATCCTGCATTTGATAACAAACAGTAATATCCAGGTTGTATACTTATAACGTGAATTACATATGATACCACAATTGTCCTACATAACTAATGCACTATTGCCCCAATAGCATTTTGTGCCCATCCACATAATATGTAAATATGACGTGTGTTTATAATAATTGGCAATTCGCAGGTAAGATGTAGTTTAATTTTAAATTTAATTAAGTTTTCTGAATAAAAGTGCCATATTTCGGTATGTGACACTACGGAGCTCGATATAAAAGTTATTAAATGACGTAATTTCATTTTTGAATTGAAAAAATTTGAAAAAAAAATAAAAATAGCAAAAAATATTGAATTAAAATAATGATACCCCAGAAATTATTAATCCATTCAAAAATATGATTTGTTAATATTTTGTAATTAGATATTTGTATTGGCAAATATATGTCTGCCTTGATAAATGATTGTATCACTTATTCCACTACATGAAAATACTTCTCTTAGAGGAAGTCATTGTACGCAGCATTGCCCATTACGTACCACTGTACATAAGATGATGATCTGAATAGATGCTACAACTTCATTGACATCAGCTTCAATCCCCAATTCAAGGCACACACACCCCGAGGAGTTAAGTTTGTTTCTTGTGAAAGACAATATTTTCAGCTATATTCTAGCATCAAATTCTTCATTTGTTTTGTAAAATTGACTAGAACCAAACAAAACAATAAATGTACATAAGTGTGTTAAATGTGGAGTAACGCTGGTTTACTCGGGTACAAAGGTCAAACAGTTCAGACCACTCAGTGTTCGATATAGGGGTGAACAACCTCCTCTATATTCACATGCAAATGAATTGAAAATGCCACTACATTACTGCATCGACATGTATAGTATCAGCGTTGTCGGTAAAATAATAAGACACGAGACACTAGTGCAATGTTTATTCAGTAAAAAGACTACCGTGTCAAACATTTTGTTCAAATTGCAAACACTTTTATTAAATTATGCAAACAAGATTCATATAGTACTGTATATGACGTTAGTGTCAATTTATTCACTAGGTATTACTACGACATACATTCAAAATGATTGTAATAAATTGTCAATAATTTGTAATTTGTACATGTACTGCATCTTTAGTCATTGTAGAAAGTGTTGTATAATTATCACCTGAATTTGACATAGACTTTAAAACAAAATACAGAATATCAACATAAAACCCTTAATTTAAACAATCACAACCACTTGAACAAATACACTCATACGTATTTCTACCGTTTATACGTAAATGTTGTTGCTGGTAACACTATCAAGTTTATCTGACAGGATTTTTTTTATTATTTATTAATATTTTGACCTAATTGTAATAGGAAATCTCAATAATTCCATGGGAATGGGTTATTTTATTCAAATAAATTGTCAATATCCACGATATGCACCACATAGAAAACATAGTTATTTACTCGTCATTATTTAACATAGAGCAAACCTGTTTAGACAAACTTCGCTTAAGACGTATATGTATAATAAATGCGACGATATTGCCAGTCACTGAGCAGCAAAGAAGAACTGTAAATAATGCCGCCACGCTGACACATATGATACAAGGATATTGGTTAGTTTCTGTAAAAAAACTACGATGTGAATAGATCGAATATTACGTCATAGGTTTTTACAATAATGACGATTGTGCTTGTGCATATACAGATCGCCATATGTATGATAAATTGGATAATAACGGCGAGTTTGCATTTTTGCGTATTAAGTCAACAACAATGAATATTCAATATCTACACATGTTCGAATATTACATTCTGCTACTGAAAAAAATAGATAATCTTTTAATATATCATTAAGAGGTAGAATTAACTGCCGCGAAGCTGACCCGACCCCGTTGCCTGGAATTCAATATTCGCGTATGATTCTCCAAGTTGACAGCGATAATTATGAACACACTGTGTATCAAATACAGTCAACGTTGTTTTCTGTTCATCACCTTCCACTGCATCAATATCATATTTATCAGATGAATCTATCTGTATGTAATTTGACCCATCCTGTAGAAACCATTCCCAAGATTTTGAGGGGACTCTCAGTGACAGCAATAATTGTGGGTTCGTCTACAAACAAACAGGATAAATAGTTTGTGTTAACACTAAATCAATTATCGGGAGAGTCTGAATGAAACAATAATCTGAATTTAATACTTGCATAAGTAGGAAATGCCGTTCAATTGGTCATCCACATATCATAGAATGGTATACACATTTTTGTCACT